ACTGCCTGTTATAGATTTCCGTAGCTGTGTCCCCCACAGCTGCAGTTTTACTCTGGTTTTCAATATGGTCAGCTCATGTGAATCTGTCTACCCAGTGAGACTAACAGCTCCCTACAGGCAGGGACTGTCTTAGTCACACTACACTAAACTATTTAAAGAATAAACAAACGACAAACAAAAACCTGCCTGTCTCAAGGAGCCTTTTTCTCATTTACATCTGTTAAGTGACATCCTGCATGGGACTAGTGTCCCAGTGAGCCAGTGGGAAACTCTTGACCTGGGGAACTGGCCCATCTGCCTGAGGCGACCCCACCTCACCCTCCATGGGCTTACCTTGAGGAAGCGCCGGTAGCCCCGCACGGCTGTCTCAGGTAGCGGGTGTGAGCGCAGGAAGCGCAAGTACAGAGGCCAAATACGAGAGTGCTGTGTGATAGGCAGCGCCCGGAGGGCACGGTCGAAAGTGCGGCGTGTGTGAGTGATACGGCCCTGGTCCACCAAGAACTGACAATAATCTAGCCATAGACGTGGCATCTAGAAGCATGAGGAGAGGCAGGGTCTGAGTTGCCGGCACTATAGCATGGCTACAAAAACACCAGATGTCCCATGGCCAAGCCAAAATGCAGCAGGACCCAGAAGGCGATCCCTCCGGGACTAAGTCTAGCTCAACCTCAAGTGCACAAAGGCAACAGGACTCCAACCCTCCTGCTTCATCCACCTCCCGACTCATCCCCTGGCCCAGTCCCCCCACCTCCAACCTTGTGCATGAAAACGAAGGCCCTCTCGTGGCAGTTGTTGACATCTTCATAGGCAGGATCAGTCACACAGCGATGCTTCACCTGGGCCCTGCGTGCCTTCAGGTAGCGGTACCAGAGTTTGTAGCTGGAGGAGGCAGACATTGGTTGGTCAGCTTCATGGAGCACCAGAATCCTTCACCCTACCCCATAAGGCCACTGCTGGGAGCAGGAACCTGGGAGAGTGACAAGTATCAGCAATGGGGGATGGGCTGGGATATAAGGGAGGGTGTGCTGACCCATCAGAGGACATATACTCAGGGACGAACCATAGCAACCACTTGGGACCTACTGGCCAGCTCTGCTGTAACTGGACAGGGGGGCTGGGCGGGGCGGGGGCGGGTGGGGCAGCCGAAGCCGTCTCACCTGCAGGGCAGCAGCTTCAGCGCGCGCTCGTACAACTGATTGAGCCTGGGCTTCGGGGCCCCCTGCTTGAACTCAATGTAGCGGAGCCAGCATTTGACAGAAAACTGGTTCCGCATAATTTCCTCCTCATAGGGGAGGTCTTCTTCATCCTGCCAACGGGGAGAAGGGAGAACTGCCCTCAGAGCCTCGGCATAGCACCATCTACTCCAACCGCAGACCCTGACCCAGATCTTGGTGCCCACCCTCAGAGCCAGGTCACCAGATGCCCAAAGAGGACTCTGGTCCAGACTTAGCCTTCAGAATTCTACTGCCCACAATATAACCCAGACCATCAGACTCCTCGGTCATAGGATTCGAGGCCAGATATAGACTGTCACCCAGACTTCACTTTTTTGGTCTTCCAAATCAAGTTACCCGCTCCCTGGCCCGGATAGCAGACTCCTTAGGCTGTCCTGTCCAACACCAGCCCTCTGCCCTGGACAGTAAGCTTCATCTCCTCACAACATGCCTTTTCCTAGACACCAGATCTTTGGCACTTCCTCAGGCTAACACCAGCCAGAGTCTAGTTCAGCTGTGCCCCAGAACTTGGAAGCTAGAAGACAGATATGCACCAGACACAAAGCTTTTAGCCCTAGACACTGAGGAAGAAAGTGAAGAAACAGTGAAATAAATTACACCTTAGGTGACAATACAAGCCTCAATAACTGAAAAAAGACTGAAATCATATCAAGTGTCTTTTCAGACTACAACTTCATGAAACTAGAAATCAACTACAGGAACAACATTGGAAAGCACATAAATATGTAAAGACTAAATAGAATGCTACTAAACAATGAATGGATCAAAGAGGAAATCAACAACCTTGAGACAAATCCCTTCAATAACTGGTGCTGGGAAAACTGGACAGATAAATGCAATAAATTGAAGCTGGACCACTTTCTTTTCTTAAATATGTTTTTGTTGATTTTAGAGAGAGGGGAAAATAGAAACATCAACGAGAGACAAAAACCCATCCATTGGCCGCCTCCTGCACACCGCCTCCTGGGGATCAAGCCTGCAACCCGGACATGTGCCCTGACCAAGAATCGACCCCCGGGGACCTCTCAGTGCATGGGCCACCCTGGCCAGGTGAGACTGGACCACTTTCTCCCACCATATACGAAAAGTAAAAGGAGTCAGAGAAAGATAAATACTGTATTATGAGTGGAATTTAAAAAAAAAAAATAAACAAAACAGAATATAAACCATACATATAAAGAACAAGCTGATAAAAAAAAAAAAAAAGAAAGGAAGAAAGAAAAAAAGAACAAGCTGATAGCTGCCAAAGCAGAGAGGTAGGGGGATTGATAAAAAAGAAAGAAAAGAAATATCCCCCAAACAAGAAGAAAAGTAAATAAAGTTGGAGTCACTATAATCAAGCTGCTAAATTACTAAAATCAGGTAGGCTGAGCCATGAGGAAACATTCTATTCTTCTTGTAACTATTCTGGGGGCTTGACCTTTTGACCTTTCCGGAGCCATTGCCTGGCTGTACACCTGCTCCCTGATATCAACACCTGGACACACACCGGGCCCCGCCGCCCCTGTCCTATCCCCGGAAGCCCCATTGCCCTGACCCCCTGCCGTGACCGGACCTGCCGGCGCCCACACGCCACACTCCCCGGAGCCCACCATCCAGACCATCTGGCATCTGACAGGTAACTGTTCTCTGAGCTGTCACTCTCGGGCTCTCTGGGTCCCGCCGGCCATCGCCTGACATGTCCGCACCAGCAGGTCTTTACTTCCGACCGCAGGGTGCTCCGAAGCCAGACACCACGCCTTTCTCCCAGAAACGGGGCCGCTCAGGACCGTTACCCGGACACCAGAGTCCTGGCCCGGCCACCGGGTTTGGTGCCTTTCCTTCCAACACCAGGCCTCTCAAGAGTCAGCCATTCGAGTTTCTCTCCTCTCCCGCTCCGCGCGCTCCCCTTTGCGCGCCAGGCCCTTCACCTGCACAGCAGTGCTTCACTCAGGCGCCGGGCTCCGGCACCAGACGTCTACTCCCGGCCAGCCGGGTCCGGACTGCACCTCTAGCCCGTGAGCTTCCTCCCGCCCTTGGGCCGACATAGCTTTGGCCCAGATCCCCGGGGGTCAGGCCCCGACCGCCTGAGGCATCCAGGCTCTGTCTCCAGTGCCTGCGGACTCACAAAGACAAGGTCCGGCCGCTCCTGCCGCGAAAGTCGCGCCATGACCACCATTTTGCCAGCGCTCCACCTACAGCCAACAGTCGCGTTGTAATGACGTCTCTATCCGAAGACCCGCCCTCCCCGAGCCAGATCCGTTTCCTATTGGCTGACCGCGTTCGGAGCGTGCAGTTGGGTCGCGACTTTCCCCTCAGTCTTCCTCAGCGACCGGAAGTAGAGTGAGAGCCGGAGATGAGGTCATTAAACGCGAGAGCTCCTCGGCCAATCAGCTTCTGCGGTCGAGCGACGCTGTGTCTCTGGAGGGTTGGCTTTGGACCGGAGCGACTTTGTGGCCTCAGGGGAGCGACATGGGAGTGAAGTTGGAGGTGTTTCGGGTCCGTGGGCGCCGGGGCGGGTGGGCACCGGAGCGGGAGGGCGGGGCGGGCGGGGCGTCTTCCCGGACCTGAGGAGGCAGCTCTGAGAAGGAGGATCCCAGGAGAGGGCGCTCTGGGGAGGGACCCCGAGATCTGAGAAGGCCCTTTAGGGTCGGAAGCCCAGAGGAGGGGCTCCGGTGAGGCGGCTCTGGGAGGGCTGCTGTGAGGAGGGCCTGCCGAGCGGGGTGGTCAGAGCCGGGGCTCTGGAAGGAAGAAGGCTGCAGACTCGGGGAGCTCTTGGGCTCAGGATGGGGGGGTGTGTCCGGTAGGGAGACTCCTACCCTAGGGCGTAGACGCAGAGGCACGAGGGGTTCGGGGAGCTCCCGGGACCCGCCTTGGGGGCGGGGCCCTGAGGGGGGAGTGTGGCCTCCGGGAGGGAGCTTTCAGAAGTAAGGCGCCTTGGGTGATGGCGGCCAGACCCCGCAATCCTGGGGTTCTCGGGGGGCCCCGAGGAGGGCGGCTGGGCGGTGCTAGAGGGTGGTCCGCAGGCTCTGAGCGGCCTGCGCCTCGCCGCCCCCTCGCAGATGACGCTCTACCTCACCTTCCCGGTGGCCATGTTCTGGATTGCCAACCAGGCCGAGTGGTTCGAGGGCTCCGTCATACAGCGGAAGGTGGGCGCCGGGAGTGCTCGTGGGCTTCCGGGGTGGGAGCGCAGGGGCGCCGGTGTCTGCTGGCAGGAGCTCACCTGCCCTACGTGTGGGCTCGGGAGGCTCCTGGCTCACCTGTGGTTTTACCCCCGCAGAGGGAGCTGTGGCCGCCTGAGAAGGAGGACCAGGTACGCGACACCCTCTTCCCCCCAGCGGGACAGGGGGCCTGGCTCCCCGCGACCGGGATGGGTCGGGAGCAGCGAGCGGAGCAGAGGACCACGTGGTTCCCTTGCCGTCCTCTCCCCACGCGGCGAAGCGGACCCGCTTGGACCTGCGTGTGACTGGCCCAGGGCTTCCCGTGCGGACACTGAAGCCTAAAGCCACGGCGGGGGCGCAGGGGCGGGGTGGCGGTGCGGGAGGGCAGGGGGCACCAATGTCTGCCTCCCATGAGCTGACCTGTCATATGTCCCACCTCTTGCTCACCGTTAGCGCCAAGAACTAGAAGAATTCAAAGCGAGGATACGGAAGCAGCGGGAGGAGAAGCTCCTTCGCGCTGCCCAGCAGAGTGCCTGAAACCCCCAAGTGCCCGCGTGCCACCCGTGAAACAACACACACTCAGTTCTTTCTCCTGCAAGTGTTTTATTGTCTGCTTTTGGGGGGCACGAGTGGGGTGCAAGATGGCTCAGGCCCTCACGGGGCTTGTGTCTGGGGCTGGGGGCTGCTGTTCCGACGGAAGCTGAGAGCAGAGGGGTCCGGAGGGGTGAGGAGGGGTTGGGGGCTCAGGGTCCCAGCTCGTTTCTGCGCTCCGTCCTGTGGAGGAAGAGGGGTTAACCAGAGGGAGAGGCCAAGGGCCGCGCTGGCCCGAGGCGAGGCGAAGCAAGCATTGGAAGGAGGTGCAGGTGGGAACCTTGTTGCATCGCCCACGTCTGCCCCCACCATCCTGGAGCTTCTACGTACCTTCGTTGCTCAACAGGGTGCAGTTTGGGTGTGAGGTGGGGGACCTTGGGGATCCCACTGGGGTCTTGATCAGAACCCAAGCTGTGCATGATTACACATGACAGACACCCGTGAGTGTATGAGCTCATGTGCCCTCCTCCCTGAGGATGTCTTCCCAGGAGAGGGGTTTGCTCTGTCTACCCTCCCTGACACCCTCAGCCATGGCTCTGGCTTAATGTGCCCTCTGCATGACCTTGTGGCCCTCTGGGTCTTGTCTGGGCCTTCGTTCTCCTGTCTAAAATCAGGTATTGGATTGGCCAGGGCCTTGGGACGGGCAAGGACACAGGCAGGCACTCCTACCAGGCACTCATCTCCAAGGAGCACATGATAGACCGGTGGGGGTGGGACCCCATTCACTCTGAACTGGGGGTGAGAGGCAGGATTGAGGTGCTCAGCATGGCTGGTCTCCCTCAGCCCCAGCAGAATATCACCTACCTTGGGGCCCACAGGCTGGAAACCAGGCAGGGCGCTGACTGTCACACGCTGGTCATCCATGCGGCGACCCTGGGTGCTGGCCAGCATGTCTATGAGACTGTCCATCTCCGGCGTGGGGCCACTCTCTGCAGAGAGCACAAGCAGGTGAAGGTGGACACAGATGCCAGGGAACACGGCCAGCGGGACCCTCAGCCCACCCTCCCTCCCACTCCGGTTCTCCCCTGCCGAGCCTTGTCCCTAGACCCACAAGCATCTGTGTCCCCAGCTGCCCACGCCCTCAGACAGACTCTTGCCTAGATGGTAACTTGTCCTGTACCGCCCTACCCCGTTTACTCCTCCAGGCAGCACACCCTCCCTCCACCCACTGCCCACTCACGGCTCTTGGAGGTGGTGCCTGGCTCTGCCTGCAGCGAGCAGCGCTGCTCCTCCATTCGGTCGCCCTGCACATGGGTCAGCAGGTTGAAGAAGCCTTCTTGGTCTGGAGAGCCCGCCTGGGGGACAGACACATCTGGTCCAGCTGGCCCCTCAGTTGGGGGACCCCTCACTAGCTCCCACCTTGGCCCCGGCGTCTGCCCTCCCCTCCGTGGCTCTCACCATGGTCCCCGCTGATGCGCTGCTCTGCAGAGCTGCTGTGAATGAGACCAGAGTCTCCTTCACAATCCCAGCCCGCAGGGTCCGGCCATCAGTGCCTCTGCACGTGGTGCTGCCTCAAGGGAGAAGCTTCTCCATTCTAGATTGGGGCCTGACTATGGACACCAGCCAGGAAAATATCCCCGGGGCGGCCCGAAAATCCCAGCACCCCCCTCCCCCCAGCTCACCGGGCCACCACTGAGCACTGCCCTGCCCTGGGGCTGTGGTAGGCACGTGGACCCTCATGCCCACCAGTACGTCCTTGGGCAGCAAACTGGGTCAGGGATCCCAAGAGACTCAATCGCTAATTAGATGCCCTACAAACTAGTTATTGTCATTCACTGCTCTTGAGGAATTGAGAGGGGGCGGGGGGACCTGCTTACCTTGGCACAGGGCACTGAACCCCCATCCACCTCTTCCCCGTCCATCTTTGCTCCCGCTTCCTGGACCCCGTCCGTTCTCTGCTGGCCTCTGGCCCAGCCCCAGGCCAGGAAAGGCTTTTTAAAAGGCAGACGGGGCAGTGGATACCCAGCCCAAATCCCCAGCTCACACCCATCTGCTCCCACCCAAGCTTAAGCCCCATAAAGATGATCCAGATAATGGTTTTCACTGCACACTGCTGGGGCTGCTGTGGGGTAGGACGCCGGGTGCTCTGGGTTGGAACCTGGCAGGACTCCCTGTGCCTCCAGAACTCTCAGGTGGGACACAGCAGGCCAGAGCGGAGCCCCCACATTGGGTCATGGGGGCTGGCTGGGCCCCATTGGGAAAGAACAGGGCTGCTCAGGGGGTCTGCAGCCCAGCAGTGGGAAGCAGTACGGTGGTCTCACCGGCCAGAAGGCAGTTGCCATCTGCAGGCAGTAGGGTAAGTCGGGCCTCAAGGCCCCTGAGGCACTCCCTGCCAGTCTAGCTCTGTCTCCTGGCGACCGCTGACCCTATTCACTGTGCCTGGGTCTGGTTGCCTCCCATAGGCCCCCAAGGCGAGGTTTGGGATCCCCTGTCTCTGATTTGTGCCCCCAGCCCTGCCTGGGGAGGGAGACAAGTAGGAAAGCCCTGCCCCTGCTGCCCACCTCCTCCCACCCCACAGCTTTGGCTTCCTCTCAGTGGCCTGGGAGGGGATGCCCATGGGAGGCTCCCGTCCACACCCACTCCCTCCTCAAGATGCCTTTCTAGAAACTAGTGAAAGTTTCTTCCTGGAATAAATGGCCACATTGTCACCACCCCAGCCTGAGGGCCAAGCTTGGTCCCCCTCCGCAGGCAGCCCTGCCCTTATTCAGGGTCACACTCCACACCTCAATCCTCGATGCCAGCGTGATGTGCTGCTCCGCCACGGACGAGCTCCTCTCCTGGGGCTGCCCTGTCGCAACGGGCAGCTTAGAACACAGACATTACGGCACACAGTTCTGGAGGCCAGCGTCGGAACCGCGTAGGAGGGCGCGCTCCTGAAGCTTGTGGGGGGGCCCTTCCTCGCCTCGCCCTGCTCCTAGTGGCTGCCGCAGGCCTCAGTGGTCCCTGGATGGTAGCCGCAGTGCCACACTCGCAGCCTCTCATCACATGATGCTCCATGTTCCCTTGTCTTCACCTGGCCCCCAGTCATTGCATTAGGGACCCACCCGACTGCAGCATAACCTCATTTTAACTCACCTGCGATGACCCTATTTCCAAATACGGTCATATTCTGAGGTCCTGGGGGTTAGGGTTTCTTTTTTTTCTTTTTATTGATTTCAGAGAGGAAGGGAGAGGGAGAGAGAGAAACATCAATGATGAGAGAGAACCATTGACTGGCTGCCTCCTGCACGCCCCACACAAGGGATTGAGCCTGCAACCTGGGTATGTGCCCTGACCAGGAATTGAACCGGCGACCTCTTGGTTCAAAGGTGGATACTCAACCTCTGAGCCACATTGGCCGGGCTCAACATACCTTTTTTAGGGATGGAGGGGACAGGAGCCCATTCAGCCTGTAACAGCTGAAAAGCCTGGTCACCCTCACAGAGTGTAGTGTGAGTGGCAGGCCCCTGTCCTAGGGGACAGGCTATGATGCTAGAGGTGATCCCAGCTTCCTCATGGTCTCCCAGCGCCCCCCTTGGTCCCTGCAGTTTGTCCTCCCCCCTTAGAAGCTGCAGGGGTCCCTCCTTCCCCTGCTCAGAACTCTCCCTTGGTCCTCACTGTCCTCAGGAGAAAACCCAAACACCTTGGGGGCCATGGGAATACTGTATTCTAGAACGGACCGATGATGGCTGCGCAACGCTGAATATGCTGAAAGCCGTTTAACAGTACTAATATGTGATATAACTCAACAGAACTGTTTTTTAAAATATATGTTATTGATTTTCCACAGAGAGGAAGGGAGGGGGATAGAGAGTTAGAAACATCCATGAGAGAGAAACATCGATCAGCTGCCTCCTGCACATCCCCCACTGGGGAAGTGCCTGCAACCCAGGTACATGCCCTTGACCGGAATCGAACCTGGGACCTTTCAGTCCGCAGGCCGACGCTCTATCCACTGAGCCAAACCGGTTAGGGCTCAACAGAACTGTTAAAGAAAAGGAAAGGTGCTGGGATCCAACCCCAGCAGGTCCAGGGGTCCCCAAAGGTGTGGACGGAGTTGGTGAAGAAGGAATGACACGGAGACAGCGTTCAGTTGATCAGCAGCCTAGCCAGGATCTCCAGCGAAGTTCTGGTTAGGATCTCAAGCCAGGTTCTGTGTCCATGTTCTCTTGCTAGGTTCTCTTGCTAGGATCTCCAGCCAGGTTCTGTAGCCATGTTCCCTCGCTAGGTTCTCCAGCCAGGTTCTGTCCAGGTTCTCCAGCCAGGTTCAGTCACCAGGTTCTAGTCAGGTTCTCTTGCCATGTTCTATCCAGGTTCTGTAGCCAGGTTCTGTCTCTAGGTTCTTCAGCCAGGTTCTCTCGCTAGGTTCTGTCTCTAGGTTCTGTGGCCAGTTTCTGTCCAGGATCTTTTGCCATGTTCTCTCGCTAGGTTCTGTCTCCAGCTTCTGTCCAAGATCTTTTGCCATGTTCTCTCCAGCGAAGTTCTTCTGTCTCTAGGTTCTGTGTAGGTTCTGTCTTCTAAGTTCTGTCTTGTTACATCTGTATTTATACCAGTTGATTCCAATCCTATCAATCTCTATTCCAAAGGTTAGGGCGTTTCTTATCTCCATTCCAGGGAGTAAAGATTATGTAGCTTAAGCACGATTGTTCGTAGTTAAAGTGATTAATTACCCACCTGGCACTTAGTTAAGAGGTTTTATTCCCTCCCTAACTTCAGGGGAAAATCCCTACCTGGGGAAACAACCTTTCTCAGAGACCTTGGTTAAAACACATAGTGCCAAGAAGGTGAGCAAACATATTAAGAACAGTATGCCATATATGCCAGGTCCCTTGAAACAGCAAGGATGGACCGGCTCCAGGCAGAAAGGAGAGCGTGGGCGGGAGGAGGAAAGGAGGGAAGTGCAGGGAAAGGGAGGAAGGAAAGATAGAAAAAAAGGAAGGAAAGAAAGAATGAAGAAAGGAAGGAAAAGAAAGAAGGTGGAAAAAGAACCCAAGTCTCTGTCTGGAGCGGCCAGCCCTGGTTTGCCTGGAACTGTTCCAGGTTATCAGGGTCCTGCACCCCAGGAACCTCTCAGTCCCAGGCAGATGGGCTGGCTTAGGCCTACTCTGTCCTCGGGAAAGCTGGCCTGTGCAGCCCCTCCAGCTCACCTCTTGCCCGGCCTTCCCCACCATCTCCTGCTCTTCGCTGCCTGGATCCCTGTATGGCTGCTGCTTGGTGTCATCCCGGTTAAGTCTAAAGGCCACCCCCTCAGAGGGTTCCTCTGTTTGCGACTCAGTGAAAGGACCTCATTTCCACGCGCAACAGTTCCACGGCCGGTAAAGAACCCGTCCCCCACACGGCATTGCTACTATATCTCTGTTTGTTTCCTTCGGGGCAGAATTGATTATTTTCTCTCCTCTCCCTCCAGAACTCCACGCCAAGTCCCACATGGCAGACCTTTTGTTGTCTGCCCCGTGCCTGCCCTATGCAAATGGCAATAAGCACTAAATGGAGGCGCGGTCCAGGGCTCTGCCTTCACGCACGGGCATCACACTTCAAAGCCGAGGCCCATCCATGCGGGTCTGGCCCAGGGCCAGCCTTTCACACAGCAGGGCCGGCCTGAAATTCCGAGTCAAGTGTGAACTGAGGTGTGTGTGAGCGTGCCACCCGCCCACGTGTCTATCAGCCTGGAATGTGACCGTCACCCATGACGGGTGTGTGCAACCAGCGCACCCCCAGGCTGTGCGGAGCACCTCGGGGACGGCGCCCCCGTCGGTTCCGCCCTCACCTGAGGACATTTGTGCTGACGGGAGGGAGGGAGCCGAGCACGTCGCGAGCGCGGAGGGGGCCGGCAGCGCTGCGGCTGTTTGGGCACATCTTCCACCTTCCTCCCCAGCCGGGCGGGGCGGGGCGGGGCGGGGCCAGGCGGGGCGGGGCCCACGTGGGTGGCGCGCGAGGCCACGCCCCCACCTTTGACAGACCCGGAAGCGGCGGCGCCCCTTGGGGAAGATGGCGCCCTCGGGGCTGAAGGCGGTGGTGGGGGAAAGTGAGTGTCGCCCCGGGCCGGGCTCTGACGTCCCCTGGGGGGCGGGGGCCGGGGGCGCACGGACTCTGGGGCCCCGGCGGCGCCCAGGTGGGGGCCGGGCCGGGCGTCGCACCTGCTCCTCGAGGGGGCGGGCGGCACTTGGCTGCACTGCCCGCCCGGCTCCCCCGAGCCGGAGTCGAGCGCACCTGGGGGACTGCGCCCCGGGAGCCCGAGGGCCGGCTCCGGGCACAGCTGGGCGTCCAGGCTCCCGGGTCTCCGAGCGGGCAGCGTGCTGGGGGCTGGGTGCTGGGGCCCGATGCTGCAGGTTGGGGCCGGGCTGGGTGCTCTGACCGGCGACCCCAGCTGGGGGGCGTGCTCCGGGGGTGTGTCCAGGCCCCGGTTCTAGTCCAGGGGTGGGGGCCTTCCTCCGCGCCCCATGCGACCTGAGGACCCAGGCGTCCAGGCCGTGCGAGGCTGGACTTGGGGGAGGGGTGAAGATCGCCGTCCTGAACCTCGGGTAGTTCCGGCCTCAGCTGCTCCTTCCGCCCTGGCTGCCCAGATAACAGTGGTGACACTCGGGCAGGGCGGGCCATTCCTTCCCGTGTCCCCCTTCCGCTGGGCAGGCGGAGTGCGGTCAACCCCAGCACCCCAAATGAAGAAGGAACCTCCTGCATAGTGGTTAAAGGGAGCCCGGAAGGCCACTGATCCCATTTTACAGATGAGGAAACTGAGGCTGGAGGTTGGGTGATGGAATGACCCTAGCCAGGCACATTTCAAAGCCGGGACCAGGGGCTCCTGCATTCTCGTCCAGTGGAAACTGATGGAGGTGGAGTGGGGACTCTGGTCAAAACCTCCCCACCAGGCGAGGTTGACGTAGCC